CCACTGTCACCAGACAGAAGCCTAAAACTCCCTACAAAGCCCCAGCCTTGATACCCAGTAAACAGAAGCTAAAGAGCTCCACACCACAAGTCCACATTCTAAAGGCCTTGCGTGTGAAGGCCATCCTGTGGTAAAGGCAAGCCGGCCTCCTATAGCCAGACCCACACCAGCCAAAAGCCAGGGTGGCACTTTAGCCCATCTGCCCAAACCTACACTCTTGAGCACCAATTCCATAAATCAAAGTCACTTTCTCAGTAACAGCAAGATTCATTGTCCCGTGTCACCATCAAGACCCTGTGTCACTGTGCAATGGCTATCCCATCAGAGAAACAGCCATATTTTATGTCATAAAAGCCAAATTCTGCTTGTCTGTATACATTGCGGGACAGCAAAGACCCATTGACAAAAGGAGAGCGCTGAAGCTGGCCGCTCCAAAGCCCAGGGGCATGGCTGACCATCTGAAGCCCCTTACCAAAAGAGGCTATAAGATGCAGGTAAAGCCTGAATATGGCTCCCTATAGCAAAACCTGTAGTGACCATGGTTCTGAGTTAGCTGACAGGAAGAGCAGCTAGCCCAGGCTTACACTCTGTACTGGGCTGGACTGTGCCCCAAAGTCTGCTACTTGAAGCCCTAGCCCCAGATGTGACAATCAGGAAATAACAGGTCAAGACAACTCAGAGGGACATTGGAGAATGATGCTATCGACAAAACAAGGAGAGAGGCCACAGGACGAACGGGCCCTGAACTTGGACTCATCCTCTTCCACATGAGAAATAAGTCTGTGATCTGAACCCCACTTCAATGGCCACATAATATGTTCTCTGCTTTTTAAGAAAAGTCCACAGCCTGAAGTACAGGCAGGGGCAGCGCTAAACTTCCAGATAGAGAGAAAACAAGGTCTAACGGCAGGACAGCAGTCTCATCTAGTCAGCATCCTGAGATACCATGTAGTCCACCACTTAACACACTCATCCAGGAGATGCCAGGATCCTGTGATGGTGTGTTCGGTGTGCATATGGTGTCCCAGCAATGCACATAGAAATAGGTTGCCCCATCGGTTCTCCTTGTATCCAGCCTGTCCTCCAGTTCCAGAAGCGGTACACACGGGACAGAGAGAAATTGGGCCTTGCTCATATGGTCTTCTCCATCTCCTTCCAAGCTTACGCTGCAGACGCTGTTATTCTACGCCTGTGAGGGCTTATCTTTCTCACTCCGTGCACCAGACACAGTACAGGACAGGGTCCTTAACCAGTTCTGCACTAGCTTTTTGTCTTTGGCACCGCCACATGCAGGCATGGTCATGCTGACTCTTCATGGCCCTTGAAGACACTTCTTGCCGTCATTCTTCCTTCAGGACTCAGGTCTGTGGTACTCAGCTCAAAGCTTAAGCTTAAACAGCTCTCTGGAAGAGGTATATATGCATGATGTCCTAAGTTACATACCCAACACAAGGCAAATAGAAAAGTAGACCTCAAAAGAAGAGTGTGGTGCAGATGGCCCTGGGAAAGCAATCAGCCCATGCATCCAGCCTCTCTCACAGGGTCTGTCTAATGAACCGTGGAAAGCAATTAGCCACAAGCTCTCTAAAGAACATACATTCTCTGTGTCTCTCTGTCTCTCTCTCCCTCTCTCTTTACCCACACACACACACACACACACACACACATACACACAGTGGGAGAGGAAGAGCAGAGAGAGAATGTGTGTCTGGCATGATGATGTGCACCTTTATCTACTTAGTGAGTTCCAGCCCAGCCAAGAGTACATAGTGAGACCTTGTCTCAAAAAAAAAAGTTAAAAGGGACTGTGAATGGTTGGTGCCAATGAGCTGGGGAGAGAACTAGGCAATCAGTATGTCAGTGGGTCGTATACTGGAAAGAGATCATTCTTGGAAATAGCTACAGACTTTAAATGACACATTTTATGCATATTTTATTAGAAGATTACCTAAGACTTATTACATACTATATATATTCGTAGTATGCATACATACATACATACACACACACACACACACACACACACACACACTTTTTTTCTTTTACAGGGTTTCTCTGTGTAGCCCTGGACATCCTGGAACTCAAGAGAGCCTCCAGCCTCTGCCTCCCCAATGCTGGGATTAAAGGCATATGCTACCAGTGTCCAGCTTATTTATTCATATTTTATGTGTGTGACTGGCCTACGTGCGTGTCTGCCAAAGTTCCAGTGAAGATGGCACTGGGTCCCTTGGAATTGGGAGTTACAATTGCCTTGAGCTGCCATGTAGGTGCTAAGAATTGAACCTGAGTCCTCTGGAAGAACAGCCAGTGCTTTTAACCACACTGAAATCTTATTAAAATTTTTTAGTTGGGTATCAGTGGCACGTGCCTTTAATTCTAGCACTCAGGAGGCAAAGACAGGCAGAGTTCCAAGCTGAAGGCCAGCCTGGTCTACAGAGTGAGTACTAAGACAGCCAGGGCTACACAGAGAAACCTTGTCTCAGAAAACTGAATTTAAAAAAAAAAAAAACAATGGTTTTTGTTTTTATATTTATTTTTGAAGACAAGACAGCTCTGGTTGTTCTGGAACTCTGCACGTGGCAACATTTTTAAACAGGTGATAAAGGCCCCCCCTCCTTTGCTGTCTTAGTGACTGCCTTAGGTTTCCCGAATTCTAGGAAAACCACTTCTCCTAAGCAACGTCATCTATCTGGCTGCGGGCTGTTGTGTTTTGCAGGTGTGTAGCCTATATCCCTGAGAATCTATCACAGCCCAAGCTATTTGAGAAAGAAATGTAAGACAAAGGCAGACACACAGACAGTCAGACAGACAGTCTTTGTTTAGTTTGGTTTTTTGTTTGTTTTTTATGAGGTTTTTTTTTTTTGGGGGGGGGGTTGGGGGACGAGTCTCACCATCCTTGGTTGTCCTGAAACTCAGGATGACCTCAAACTCTGTGCTGAGATTACAGGCATGGGCCACTACCACCCAGCTTCTGTGGTTTTTACTTCGTTTATAGAAAATGGGATGAGGTGAACAGGCGCTCAGTACAGCAGCCCAAGCCTACACAGATCCCATCCACCACAGGGGGAAACAGCAGGGCTAGGGACCGGCTTCAACCTGTTATAAAGTACACGGCAGGCCCTCGGCTCTCCCTGAGACAGCATAGGGAGACCGCTGTCAGAGCCCCAGGCTCTACTCCCAATCATGGACCACTGGGGATACACATAGCTTGTTTGCACAGAGCCTACCACATATTTGACATAGCCTACAGTGACCCACCCCGGAATGACTCTTAGGCTCATGGCTCTCAGACAGGGTGGCACCACACTTGGTAAGTCACTTGACCGGGACATGTCAGCCAGCAGCTTTTTATAGACCAAGCATCACCTCTGGATGAATGAGAATACTCAAGCGGTATCTCTAAGGGCAGACTAAAGGAGACAGTGGTGGGAGCTGCTCCAGACCAAGATCTGACGGTACCAGATGGTTCCGATTGCCAACTAGGATCCACAATAGTGAAGGCCCTAGAGGAGGGGGTGCTGAGACTAATTTGGAAGTCACTGGGATAAATTAGATCTCCTCCCAAATGAGCCGCAAAGTAAAACCTTGTTTAATCCATGTACTGCAACTTTTCTTCTTTAGGGGGTTGGGGAGTATACAGGCAGAGTGTGTCTTACTGTATAGCTCTCACTGGCCTGAAAATATATGTAGACCAAGCTGATCTGAAATTCAGATTTTCAGCCTACCTCTGCCTCCCAAGAACTAGTATTAAAGGCATGTGTTACGACACAGAACTACAAGTGTGACTGAATGACACTTTGGCTGAGACACTGGGTAATCACTAGAGAAGCTTTCCAGAGTGCAGCATCCCGTCCGGAGTTTCTCTCTCTGCCCTACAGCTAAGATGCTGCCAGACCTTAGGTCTTCACCGTGCTCAAAATGATCACACTCACTCACAAAGAGGGTGGAAGTGTCTCGAAAGTACCAGGCAGATCCTGGGCGTGGTCCTCATCCTTCCAGGTCCCCTCTCCCCAGCCCCATTGGGCATTTCCACACCCAGAGTTCCACCTTTCATCTCATACATGAAAGATCACAAAGATAAGTATGTGCCAGCACTTCGTCACTGGAGACGCACAGGAGTTTACCCCTATTCTACACTCATCCTCCTCTGGCAGGAACCTAAACCTGTCATATCAGGAGGCAGTAACCAGCCTGGACTGGCTAGCATACTGCAAACTACTGACTGTGTAATGCCCCAGCCCACGTATGGACCAGTAACCCTGGCTTTCCTGCCCACGTATGGACCAGCAGCCCTGGCTTTCCTGTGTCTCTTCATCTAAGCGCTTGCCTAGGTACACACAGCAAGCCCTACATAGATGTTGGCTCCTTCCTGTCGGCTATCACATTGGGAAGAGCTGTCCTTGGACTTAAGTTCATCTAGAAAGTCAGGCTACCTAAAGACATGCAAAGACTCGGGGTTAGGGTTAGGGTTAGGGTTAGACTGCTGGCTACACACCTGTGACAGGCCTAAGGTGGTGTGGCTGACATCAAGAGCTAGACTGGGTCTGAGTGGCCGAGGAGCCTCATCTGAAGTGGTCTCTCACGCATGCATTCAAGCACCTTCCTCTTCAGTACTGCAAACTTGAGCAGTGAATTGTCACACTCATGAGGCCAGGCTGAGAAGGAACCTCTCCTCCAAGCTCCTAGCATGCTCAATCAGGTTGCTAGTCTATAAAGCCAAGCTCACTGGATGACAACTGACTTTTGTATGGGACACCAACACATCTTTTCTCCCCTAAAATGTCACTTTATCTTCCATAATTGAGAATGTAGGGGCTGGCGAGTTGTCTCAGTGGATCAATCTGTTTGCCACCAAGCCTGACCACCTAAAACGGGCACCCAGAACTCACAAAGTAGCAGGAGAGGACCAACTCTCACAAGCTGCCTCTAACTTCTGCCCATACACCAGAGAATACCCTTGGACATACACACACACACAAAAAAAAATGTATAAAACTGTATTAAAAAAAATACAAGACCTGCTTTTATTTTTCATGGTAACAGTGCAACTTACAAACAGGGAATGACCACAGGAGAGCTGGACTCTGTGACGTTTACATTTTATTTACGTCAGTAGCACTACATGCCTCCTTGAGGGTCACATTTCCACAACACACAACACCAATTCACACTCCGTAAGTGCCCACACCACCTCCCACCAAAACCAAGCAAACACAGCAAACACTTGTGGTCACTTCCTCAAAACCCAGGTGACCCTGTCCCAGCTCCTAGCTACAGCAGTGCCCATAACTCACACGACTTCCCTGTCCACACTGCTGGACCCATCTCAAGCTCACCAACACTTTTATAATGTACTCACTGCCAGGAGGACAAAGTTCAAACAACAGATCCTCGTGGCCATAAGGAAGGAACACAGCTCCCAGAAGTGAGAAGGCATCAGAACTACCTGGTGCTCCATGCAAACCGCGAGTTAGGTGACAGTGTGGCATGGGTTGTGACGGGACAAAGCTTGTGAAGGGGCCATTCATTACTTGCAACTTAAAGAACTGATTATTTTGCACGAGCCTCTGTGTGCTGTGTGTTTGTGTAAATAGCCAGTAGCACTGACCTATCATTACTAGAAATGGTACTGCTAAGCAAAACCTTTTGACTGAAAAAGGACAAATATTTCTCCAAGAAGAAAAGATGAGATATCCCAAAAACTAAACTATATTTGGTGTCAATTTTTGACTACCTGGAGAAGATTAAAAGTTGAACAATAAATAAGGAAAGACTCTACATCTGAAGTGGCTCCTGATGGCCTATGTATTGCCAGAGTACCCTGAATCAAAAGCATCCTGATACCCATGGCTCAAGGCACAGCTTACTCTATATGTAAGTTCCGCTGTACTTAAAACCGCGCACTGTACCGATAACAGGAGGCAGTCTATCACGAACACATACCCAGCGCCCAACTGGACCCTATGGACTCCTACAACTACAAATACCTCAGAGCTCAAAGCAGGGCTTGGGCTGCTGAAAAGAATTAGGCAGACCCTTACAACTCGAGGAAACCGCTATGGACTTAGTGTTGGGGAGAAGCAGTTACAAGGCGGCTGAGGCTGTGTCACAGACTTACACAAGACACCCGGGATTGTTGCCTCCATCTCCAGCACCCCTGATCCTACCGATCCGTGGGCACACACGCCGCTGCCGTGCACACACACACACACACACACACACACACACACACACACACACACGAGAGCGGCTGCTGTGGCTGCCGCCAAATCCAGCCTAGCGGTTCCCTTTGGTCGACTTCTTCTTCTTCGAGTCCTCTTTCTGCTTCTGCTTCTTCCTCTTGCCACCTTCTTTGAGCCCTAAGGAAACATGGCTTGTGAAACACTGAACGCCAGCGACTGCACCCCCATGAGGTGGGTCACTCTCTAGACACTTCCCCATGTACAAAAAAAGCAACAGAACAGCATTTATGGTGTCCACATCGAAAAGAAGACACGAACTGTTTGCTAAAAGACTTTCCCTATTGCTCCCAGAATGTCACCTTCACACAGGGAAGTGTGCAACCCACAGCAAGCATCCTACATTTACCCAGCAGCCCAGCCACAGAACCAGCTCTGTGGAACAGGCTCCTCAGAGGCCCTGCCAAGGCCCTACCCGCACAATGTACAACCCTGTCACCTGCACAGCCAAGTCAACCAGACACCCTCCACAGCTGCCTTCGGGAGTGGGAAGTCCATTCTCTCTGGCAGCCCATTTTTCAATCTTGAAAAAAAAGTCTCTCTAATTTTTCCTGTCATTAAAGCTAACAGACACAGGACCTTACCAGCAAAGGCTACGGTAAGATTGACAGAAGCCAGCTCTGGATATTACCAGTGAGCTGGAAATGAAGGGTGTTGCCCTCTGGCCTGCGGGAGCTCATACCCTAGCCGCATGAAGTAGGTGGGATGTGGGCTTGGTGTTGAACAAGAGTCACAAAAGAGATCCCAGAACCCCAACTTCTATAGCACGCCCACAGATACACCAAAATTCCCATGGTGAGATCCCCAAACCTCAACACATGAAGTAGTTGTGGGTGTGGGGGCAAGGCAGGCAGGGCAGCAGCAGCAGGGTTAGATGCAGGCTCTAGCCGAGAACTGCAAGCCATGCTCTGTGAGGACAACCACACCCCACAGCTACGAGGCAGGGCCAAGCTGAGCAGCAAGAAGAAGGGACTGTTTATCCTTTCATTCATGACTCTTCTCATGTTGAATAATTTCTTCTTAATGACCATGTTGTGTGTGGAACCCACAAACAAATGCAAAATGCCACTAATCTCTTTTCCAAAATGCAGCTTGTCCTCTGCAGAACAAACTTTCAAGGCCACAGAATAGCCTGCAAAAAAAGGAAACGGGTTGGGGGTACAGGGGAGAGCCTACATATCCTGAATCCATGGCTCAGCAGTACAGAGCTTACCAAGCATGTGGGCAGTCCACAGCATGGGCGCGAGCATGAGCACGAGCACACACACACACACACACACACACACACACACACACACACACAGCAAATCAAACTGCATTCTGTTCTCGCCTCATCACCAGCACAGTTTGGACCGTGGCTATTCTGGCTGATCACAGTCCAATTCACGAAACTCCTAACAACCTCGGGTGGCTTAAATTGCACAGTAAATCCTTTTCTAGGAAGATACCTCAGTGAGAATTTTTTTTCATCTAGGAAACTCCACTTGCTGATGCCAACCAGCCAGGCTGTACGTAGGCTGTACCCAGCAGCTCCACAGCTGACAGCCATTGGGAGCTGCAACTGGGATGGCTTGCACCAAATTTCTCCTTGTGTGAATTTTTAGGAAAACTTGGTCGACTTGTAAATCCAACCAAAACCTAACAGCAAAGCCCCTGAAGGCTGCACTGGATGAAGTGAAGAAAGCCTGGCCCAGGACATCTTAAGTTTTTCAACAGTGGCTCTCAGAATTTTAAGGTCTGGACTTGGTCCCCCTGATCCCAACAGCAGAGGGCCAGACTTTGCAAAGCCTTCTGTGTTAGCCAGGGGAGGACAGTAGCTGGCAGTACAGAGCAAGCTATGCTGCCTAGGTCACGGTTTTGTTGTGGAAACCAGAAACCACTTTTGTGCGGTAGCTGTTTCTAATTCCCCTCCCAATGGGCCTCTATTTTCACTTAGTAAGCCAAACCCTTGTGTAGCTCAGGTGGCAGTTTAGAGAACCCCACTTCAAAACGGGTCATCATCTCTGAGAGAGAAGGTAAGTGAAGGGTTACAATTTTTTTTTCTATAGAAAAGCATGGCTCCGTAACTCAAAACAAAGTAGAGGAAGTGCCAGCTACACCCAGAGCCACACTGGCAGTGCTTTTGACTCAGGACACTGGGAAACCACCTCACTCACAGCTTTTCCAGTCTCTCATGCAAGATTTCTACCGGGATCCACAAGGTCACCAGTACACACACACACACACACACACACACACACACACACACGCACGCATGCACGCACAGAGCGACCCTGAATCTGCACTGACAGAACAAAGTGAAAGCACTTTGCTGTTCTGACTACTAAATTCTGTCTCCTGGTCACCTTTGGCTTGAGAGGTGTGGCCACGGAATGGCTGCAGTCACACTTCCTGTCGAGATCCTACTGTGGAAGTCCTATGCGCCTATGAAACAAGCTCTGCAGTCAGGCCTGCCCCAATACATCTTCTAGAAACCAGACGATTAGTGGCATGGCACCTCATAGGCCAGGCTCCAGCACCTTTACAACATAACAAGAGTTGGGGGAAGTTGCCAAAATCTACAAGGCTGCTCTGTTCTGTTTCTCTTAACGCCCTGTCTGGTCCTCTTGGACTCAGCACTGGGACAATGCTCATGGGAGGTGTCCACAGCCACTGAAGCACAAGGAGCTCCCCAATGCAGTCAGTCAGGCAAGCATCTGCCACTCAGCAGTGCTGGCATCTCTCCACAGCAACTATGCTGGCTACCCACAACTCTAGTAATGTCACAAAGACTGTTTGTTTCTGCTTGTAGAACCCTACAGGATGCCTGTTTTGGTCTCCTCTGAGGAGAACCAGAGGGGCTTGAGGGCTTGCCTCTAATACAAACTTCTGAAAAGCAAAGGAATAGGCTTTTGCCCTCTGTTTCCTGCTTGGGGCACACTTTGCAACACAATGTGACGTAGACCACCAAGCCACATCTCTGTAGTTTGGCCTGGAGTTTTGTATAGCCAGAGGCACAAACTTGTCTCACTTCTGGGCAATAAAACTACACTGATGCAGGGTTAGGGCCTGACTGGGAAGCTCTATGCGCACTCGCTGACCACCCATAATGTTCCGTGAGGAATACAATACTCCTGTAGATGTATAAGCTACTGGCTGAGGGTAGGGCCGGATGGGGGACAATCCCATCGTGAGCATAGAGGGAGGAGCCAGGCCTCTACCTTCACCGTCCTCATCTGAGATAACTCTACTGGGAACATGGCTAGGGCTTTCTGTCTGGAGAGTGAAGTTAATAAGTGTGCAAGTGATCTTGGGGCAAGTCAGGTTAAGTGATAGATCCCAAGCTCCAGGATCAAGTTATAAACCAGAAAGAAACAGTACCTAGCAATTCCCTAGCAGTCAGCCTAACCCAGACAATATACTCCATACACATCAGAATACTGGGACCCCTGTTTTAATCATGGGGTTGGCTTTGAGCCACGCAGCTAGGCCGTACATAGAGCAGCTGTGGAAGGTGAGCTGGACACAGGTATCCTCTCTGTCCCTTTTCGGCAGGCCTGGCACCTACTCCCAGCTCCCCATGCCTGCTCAGGTCAGAATGCAGCAACATAGGCCTGACTTCTGTGCTTGCTGGTCTGGATCTGAGGGGAAAACACTTTGGGGGTGCGCCACACCAGCTCCCTTCTGCACACCTGCTGAGGTCATAGGGGCATCCAAGTTGCCAGAAACCCGCTGCCTGTCCTGCTCTTCATCTTCCCAGTTGCTTTTAGACACAAGTTTGGCCGTTGGGGCAGGCCTGGGTGGCTTCTGTGGGCGGGTGCTGACAGAAGGGGCCGGAGTCTGGGCTGGAGCTGGGGCCGGGGGTCGGGCCTGGGAGGGGACCCGGACTGGTGCTGGGGCCGGGCCAGGGGCCAGAGCTGGTGCTTGTTGGCCTCTCCGCCGGCATTCTTCTGCAAGGGCGTTCTCGTCGGGCACACCTGAAAGCACAGCACACCAGGGAGAGCTGTGAGCCTCAGCCCTCCCTTGGGAGCAAAAGGCTTCATACGCCTTCTTTCCCAAAAGATGGCTCCATCTCTAGAGCCACCCTATGTTTATAAAAGAAGAAACTATTCCCTCCACTGAACTACTGGGCATGAAGATTCATTCTCTTCCCACTGTGGGAAAGAAAACAAACAATTTCAGTTCCCGTTCCCTGTCTCTCTCTCTCTCTCTCTCTCTCTCTCTCTCTCTCTCTCTCTCTCTGCTGTATCATCATCATCCAGATTCTCAGCGGAATAATCAAGGCCTAGGCCTGGCCGATACCACTTAACATGGTTCTTGCCAACAATTCAGCCCTGCAAAGAGCCAAGCGTGTTCATAGGCCAACAACCAAGGTCACCTCTGTACAAGCATAAAGTGGCTAAGGAAGCCTCTGCCCACCATCCCTACAGGGTAGAGCCCAGGCACTCTCACAGAAATTTCCCAGACACGTAGCTTATCGCACCCCCAACACTCTGCCCCACCATCATTCAGAAGGCTGTTATCTTTGGCAAAACAGAAACAAGGTTTTACACACTAGATGGATACTGAAAATAAAACAAGAAAGTAACAGTTAAAGGGTTAACTGCATGACAGTGCTGTTATCATTTATACCAGGCATGAAACTGGGGGCAGTGACTCTCCATTCTAGACACTCAGTTCACCAGGAGGATAAACCTTGCAACCACCCATTGCAGCCTGTGTGTCAACTCAGCTACAGTCATGCAAGAGCCACCTTTCTTTGGTAGTAAAGAAAGGGACAGCCGCTCCACATACAGGTTCCCCTTTCATCCCTGGGTGGCACCTGCTCAGGGCAATGTGGTAAGTATTTTAAATCAGCCCTCATCGGACATCTCCCATGGACCCAGGTTCTGCAGGAGCCAGACCTGTGGAGATGCCTGGTAGGTAACAATAGAACCTGCCAGAATCTTAACAGGGTAACGCAGCTGGAAGATGGTGGCAGTTGCCTTTAGTCTCAGTCTCTGTCTCAAGAGGCAGAGGCAGGCCAACTTGGTCTACAGAGCTCCAGGACAGCAAGGGCTACACAGTGAAATCCTGTCTCAAAACAAAACAAATTAATAAACAAAAACAAAACAACAAAAGACAGAAAGAGAAGGAAGGAAGGAAGGAAGGAAGGAAGGAAGGAAGGAAGGAAGGAAGGAAGGAAGGAAGGAAATGGGATTATGCATCACACCTGGGGCTACTGGGTCACCAGTCACAAGTCCAGAGCACTGAGCTTGCAAATTTCACCAAGGTACCTGGCTATTTACGGGGATTCAGTGAATCAGAGGCCTTACACACTCCTTACACTTACATACTGAGATGCAACCATTTAACCAACCATGCACAAAGGTAAGCCAGCAGCTGCAGCCTGTACAGAGGCGCCACTGTTTCCACCCCACTGTTCTCACCCGTCCTCTATGCTCTCTCTGCCAGACCTGGAGACCCTGATGAGCCACACGCTTTCATCACTGGGCAGGGGACAAAACATGGCATGGGCAAGCTTTGCAGGTTCAGCAAATGTGTCTGAATGAGAACATAACCTGAGATCTGGGGGGCCATGGAAAGGAAACTACCATGCACCCCACGTTCAGGCACCAGGCTGAAGCACTGTATTAAAGAACACTGAGGAAAGGCACAGTTCGGGTAGGAACAGGGGTAGTGCCACCCCATGGGGGTTTCTGAAACAAACAGCCAATCTCTGCTGGTCGGCAAACAGAGCACACTTCCTGACAACTCAGGTGGTAATGGGAGACACGTGGTGACAGGGTTCAGAATCTGAGTGATACAAATGATGGCACGTGGGAAGAGAATGTGGGTGCTCACCTGATACCTACTGTCAACTATAACTGGCATGTCCCACAGCTGGCCAGCTACTCCAACACCATGGAGAGACTGAGCACAGGAAGAAAGACCAGACAGACTCCAAGCCAGACTACCCTCTGCTGAACAGAGAACACTGCCTGTAAATTCCTCCAGGCATGGTCATTCATGCTGTAATCTCAACACTGACAAGTGCACTGGAGGCCACCCTGGACTACATACCAAAAGCTTATCATAAAACAGACGTGATAGCACCTGCCTTTATTCCCAACACTCGGGAGGCAGAGGCAGGTGGATCTCTATGAGTTAAAGGCCACCCTAGTGTACAAATCCAGGACAGGACAGCCAAGGCTTGCTGCACAGAAAAACCCTGTCTCAAAAAGAGAGAAAAAAAAAATAGCTATAGTCAACCTGGGACTACATAATCTGAGGCTATATAACCCCCATATTTCATCACAGTAAAGGAGAGGAGAAACGTAGGAGTGAGCATGTTTCCTTGTGAAGGAAACCATATTTTTCTTTCATGCGTGACACCACATACAACTGCTGCCAAACCTTTGTTTTGGGGACCGTGCTGAACCTCCAGACAGCAGCCTCTTGCTTGTCTTCTCACTTACCTCAGTGCCAAAACGGATTTCCTCAGGTCTATTCAGAACCAAGTTCCCATACAGCCAGCCACAGTGGGAGAGACAGGGTGCGCCCACATTCTGCTTCAGAAGCACCCTTCCCAGAAGTCCTGCTGGATCCACAGGCTCCACCTGGATGCACCCCACGAAGTACAAACAACCCCCAATGGCAATAAGCAAATGTTCTAAGTGACCTTGACAGGCCTCCGCCCTTGGTGGAGGAGTGTTACAGGGACATCTATGGCAGGTCACCACAAGGATAGCATGCTTCTCGCTGCAGGCTCTCTGCCCTTGCACTCTCTACATCCCCCAGCCTGGAAATAGTGTCCGACTTCAGAGCACCTTCAAAGAGTTCTGTGCTGGCCTGTTCAAGAGTTAAACAACTAAACACACAGTAAGTGGGCTGGCTTTTTGTTATCTCGGGACTAGGGAATGGCAAGATGGCTCAGAGAGAAAAGATGCTTTGCAGATAAGGTAAGCCTGGTAACCTGAACTTGATCCCCAGGACCCTCACGGGAGAGAAGCAATTCTCAAGTTGTCCTCTCACCTGCATCTGTGTGCACACGCACATGGATGCTCTAACCACGGCCTTCGTGGCACACTCTAACAGAGCTGATCAGGTACACATACCCCCCCACACACACACACATACACTCACTCACTCACAAATAAATGCAATTTTAGAAAGAACTAAGCTCTTAGAATAGGAAAAAGACTAGCAGAAAGCTGACACTGTGCCCAACAAACCTTCCAGAACCTTGTCTTTGTTCTCATGACAGGTAACTAACTAGCAAACAAGGAGCTCAGGACTCAAAGCGCAAGGCCAGTACTTCTTGGTGGCTTATGGCAGCCAAGCAAACCCTCTCATGGTTGCCACCTTCATTCTCAGAGTGCCACCCAGTTCTGAGGGCTTTCCTGAAAATCCCCACTAGGAATTTCTCTGCCCATGGCTCAGCATGGGGACACAGACCACAGGGTCCCACAAACTCAAGTCAGAAATGAAGGTGGGAAATCAGCAGACATTAGGTCATTTCTCTCCTCGGGCATCCTCACTAGGCACTCCCTATATGGCATGTACTTGTCCAAGCACTCTTTCCAGCCTGCTGTCCTCACAATATACTAAGAAGTAGTGGCTGGCAGCCAGTACCCCAGAATAGTGAACTGGCTGCTGTAACAAGACCTGTGAAGCTATCCACGTAGCAACTGCTGCCTCTAAGGCAATTTGAACCAGAGCAGGCACAGTATGACCACTGGTGTCTGGGATATTACCAAGCCTGATTCCCATGTGGAAGGAAGAAGCTGGGTTGGGCTCACCTCAGCACACAAACCTAGATGGAGCCCAGATACAGATGGCCCTGTGGACTGGCTCTGTGCTTACAAGCTCCTGAGGTCTCAGAGCACGCCAGTTTCTCTCAAGGACCACGCAGTGACTTTCACACTCTACCCAGTGATGTGCTCCTGTCCTGCTTGAGAACTGCTGGTCCTGAACCCTCTGTTCTTTGTCTTCATGGCTGCTGAGGAGGAGGAAGAATACAAGTACTCTATGGGTCCAGGAGCATAGCCAGTATGTCAACGGCCCATGGAAATTGCTTTTTACAAGGGATGTTGTCTTACAGTTCTGATATCTGTCCTGTTATGGTGGAAACCCACAAAACTACAGATAACTATCACACGCCCACCTTCAAATGATGGCAAGCTCCTGGACTCAAATTCATCCTTACTCCTTAATGTGGAGATGCCCTACAAGCTTTGAGGAGTTGGCAGATGAGTGAGGACCATCCCTACCATCTTCATATCCTGGCCCAAAGCACATCACTCCTCATTTACAGGGAGCTGATTGGCTCTAACCACAGCCTTCGTGGCACACTCTAACAGAGCTGATCAGGTACACACCACACACATACAAACATCACAAACACACACCACACACATACGCACACCACACATACCACACCCACACACACACACAC